ATCGGTATCAGGTAGGTCATTCCTCCCAGTCACAGCCCGGTCCCCACTATGAGCACCTTCCAGGAGCCAGAGAAGGGTGGTGCTCTTAACTATGTGCGGTAAACCCACAAGAGGCTCTGACAAGCCCCGCCCACAGGTCCAACTTCAAGGTGGGGTCAATCAAAATAGATTAATATGTCTCAGAGCTGTTCAATATTATTCTAGAAATATAAATAAACAAATCTTTGTGTTTATGATTAATTGTACGATTGTTCTGTTAATAAATACACAAATTCAGATTCAAAAGAACTTTATTGTCTTATTGTATAAAAAAGGTAGAAATGTGTATAGAATTCAGGCACATGAACATGAGAAGCTGCATAAAAACACATAATCATACATGTTCATACCCACAGGGACGTAATTATGTATCTGCGGTATTACAGGAAATCGTATATCTGAAATCAACTAATAAAATGCAAAAGCGAAGCATGTGAAGCAGTTTTTCTGGCTCCGCCCCTCCACTGTTACATGTATAACCTCCACCATGATGGAGCATAGAAGTGGAGAAACACCACCCACGTGAACCAGTGTCGTGTTTACACGCAACAGACGACCAATCAAAGAAGCTGTTTTAAATTGTATCTTCAGACACTTTGTTACCAGCAGTCTGAAAAGCATCTGATTGGCCCAAACACACGGTCAGTCGCGGATCGGCCTCCTCAGAGGAAACATCAGCATTTTCAAAGCAGTGTGAGATCATCGTTGTATTTCTTTATTACCAAATCACAACAACAGTGACCTCGAGGTGTTTCACACTGCAAGGTAAAGACCCCACAGTGATACTGAGAAACCCCAACAATCACATATCACATGACAAAAGGCAGAAACATCCAAAGAAGAGCTCTGAATGAAAAGCCTGGAGAATAAAGGTGGTCACCCTAACTTTCCCACAGCACCCATAAAAATAACTACAGTAACAGTCGTAATAATAATAATACTGTATATAGTTTTACTTTCTGAAATCGTCCTCTAATCTTAAATTTGCCGACTGGTCTCCTGCAGACAGGACAGAGTGCGCTCACACGGAGGCGCTGATGCTTCAGCAGCGCGGCTTATCATTGACAGCATCAATAACACTTTAAGCAGCTCTCTCACTAGTTTGCTTCTTATCGAGGTGCCTCAAGCTTTTTGCACAGCAGTGTGTACGTTTGGTTTCTTTAAAAAAGGAAAGGTTTGCAGAAGTTAAACCCAATCGTTGCCTCACCGAGTCTTGAGGCCTCTTTAACACTGCTGTGGGGTTGTCTTCCCCTAAAGAGAGAGACCTGTGAGAATGAGAGAGGCAGAGGAGGAACTGAGATGGAGGAAAGATGAAGCCAACGCTCCAGGAGCGAAAACTGCAGTTCCTCTAGCGACCACTAGAGGCTGGTTCAGTCCCCATAGACTCCAATGGTAAAATGTTCCAGCAGAAACAAACAGGCTGCCTGACGTAATAAAAACTATGTGGAGTTGAGTTTCTGTCATAACTTTAAGGTTTGTAACTGAGAGTTTTATTGATTTATTACCTGCAAAATCCTTCTCCAGTGACGACTCGGGCCACAGACTTTCGATCACGCTCTGAGCTTCCTCAGAATCATCAAAGTAGAATTTCGGTGCGATGGTCACGTCGTCTCGCTCACAGAACTTGAGGTTCTGTCTCAGTCGATCGGAGTCAAACTTCAGCACCTGAAAAAGAAACAGAGGATAATTAACACGTCTGTGCAGCTGGATTTGTAGCAATGCTCGACGTGAAGATCTGAGCGAACTTACCTCTCCGCTCTCCACATGCAGGGCGAGGGCGACGTGATCCCAAACATAATACTGAGGGTCCTTAATCGGGCCGCAGGCGTCCATCAGGTTGTACTCAGGTCTGTAGTTCAGCTGATACCTGAGAGGAAGCAGCATCTGAATCAGCCAAAGAGGTTAAACTGCATCACTGCACCTCACTGACGCTGCTCAGGTCACCGCTGAAGGTGAACCTGATGCTCGTGCGGCTGCGTGTAAAGACACTCTGAGTGTCCTGAAGTCACGGCCTGGTTTTTGTTCAGCATCAGTGTTCGTCTCACTAACTCTGAATTACATCACAGTTTCAGTAAAACTGGACCCGTGTGTCTGCGGCACAGGAACTAGGTCCTCCGTTCACCATCATCTCTGTGAG